GTTCGTATCGCAATGAATGCAGCAGAAAGGTTTGCCTTCTAGGACAATCGCCGACTTAAAAATGGAAAAAATCAAAATGTCTACAAAAAGCAACTCAAGCAAGTGCATATGGACAGTGTAGGTATAGATTACACTGTTCAACACTGAGAAATTTTCCGGGATGGTTTTCGGTTAAATTAAATGTTTTGGTTACAAAAATGACACTGTTTTCTAGCAGCTATGATAGAGTATGATTCTTTACACAGTTTATGTTAAGCCGTTACTGTGATTGGAGATTAATATCTTTTATAAGATTTCTCTTGAATGAGATGCCTGATCTAAATGCCGATGTGGATTCCAGCAGTAATTAGCCAACATACCTATCTCAACTCTCGCTTGGCAACGTACGAATAACCTAGTAAAACCTGACTTTTAACTATAATCTGAGATTTTTAGGAAACCTATTCCAATGAGAATGGAAGAAGGTTACCTTGATGCTCACATTATATCCCAGATGTTTCATATTCACATATCATCAACTAATTTTAAATAGTTTTTGCTCTTAAAACTAGACTTCCTAGACAAACGTTCTGACATGAGCTCACCCAGATAAATCAAATGTGATAACAAGATATCCTTAGAAAATTATATGAGGTCCTTATTTTTTGGGCAGTGTTATTGTATAACAATGCAATATCGCCAGACTATTTATAAGCAATTATTAGGTGGATATATACTTAGTTCTTGTTATTAGAGTAATATCAATGTGTCAATTTGATTAAAATGACCGCTGACATAACCTGCTGTCAATCCCCGAAGGCGCCCAATGTTAGTAATATATAAGATCTGAAGAAGTAAAATACCTAAAATTCAACCTAAGCTGTCGGATATTTCCAGCGAATAGAGAAAAGAGTTTTCCAGTTTCTGTAGGAATATTTTTCAAGGTACAAAAACGGGAAAACATTTAAATGGAAGATAATTTGCACTTCCATATGTATACTAAGTGACATATAAATCCGAACACCCAGTTTAAATGGTTTTATTTTAATAAAATTTTCTATAAGTACTTAATGAAGCATAATAAGTAAATGATAACAATTTCAAAATGATTGCACTGCTTTAAAGCCCTTTGACCTTTAATAATGTGTGGATGCACCCTGATGTGCTACGCATTCTCCAACGCGCCTAGGCATGCTTCTGATCAGGTGGTCAATGTCCTCCTGTGGTATCTCATTCCAGGCAACCACCAACTCCTCTCGAAGTGCTTCTAGAGTCTGAGGAGGACGTTGCAAATTGAGCAATCTCCTACCCATCATATCCCTCACGTGCTCAATTGGGGATAAGTCGGGAGATCTTGGTGGCCATGGTAACAATGTGACATAATTATGTTGAAAGAAGTCTATTGTGACTCTTGCAACATGTGGTCGGGCATTATCTTGTTGGAAAGTTGGATCTGCCAGGGTGTCAAGATAGGGTAAAAGATGGGGTTCTAGAGCTTCGTGGATATAACGCTGCGCGTTCATGTTACCTCTGATGAAGATTAAAGGTGACCTGGAACCATAAGCTATAGCACCCCAAACCATAACTCCAACAGTGTGATGAACATGTCTTTCAACAAAAAACTGTGGATACCTCCTTTCACCACGTCGCCTTCTAACCCTGGCACGATCATCGTGCATGCCTAAACAAAATCGAGACTCGTCACTAAAAACAATACTGTTCCATTCCTGATCCCAGAGTGACCGTTGTCTGCACCACTCAAGGCGATTAGGTCGGTGTTCTCGAGTTAAAGGGAGGACCCAGTGTGGCCGGTATGAAAACAAGCCAAAACTTCTCATTTGTCGGTAAACACTTCGCATGCCAATAGGTCTTCCGTGTTCTGCAAACCATTCATTTGCAATGGACCTGGTAGTGGAGAAACGGTCGCTTAAGGCCAATAATCTTAGGCGGCGATCTTCACGGTCTGTTGTTCTACGGCGGCGTCCAGTGCCCCTTGCTCTTTGCGTACGACCTTCTCGAAGCCATGCCTGACAACACCTAACCACAGTGTCTACACTTCTTTGCACTCTAACTGCAATTGCCCGAAAAGAAAGTCCAGCTTCCCGAAGTCCCACTATACGGCCCCTATCAAACTCACTAAGTTGACGAAATCGTACAGGTCTCCGTATTCTAGGCATCGTAACCGATCGTAAAGGATGTCAAGAAGCAAAATCCGCCAACGTTGATTCTTTACTGCGGCTGAAATATTCATTTTGAGAGCGTTAGTGAATTAAAAAAAAGCAGTATAAAAACCGGAATGTCTAACTGATAAGGCTGAAAATTTTTTCACTTGTTATTTACAGTAAGATAAATACATTCACAAACTTTTATTAAAATAAAACCATTCAAACTGGGTGTTCGGATTTATATGTCACTTAGTATTTTATTCAAGATTATGATGAGAATATTACCTCTGTCCATAAAGTATCTTTCAATTAAAAATAAAAATATAGAGAAAGAAGGAAACAGTAGGGTTTGTTGTCTGTCGTAACGTTGAAGTCTCCGAAGATTTGCGGCTATTTTACCATAAAGCACCTATAGTTCACGGTGTTTTTCAATTATTTATTATGAATCTTTCATACTGGCACTAGCGGCCACATCTAAATGATAAGTGCGTCTCAAAAAAATTAAAACCCAAAGGTGTTAAATATGGTGAAAGTGTAACGTAACCGAAGTCTCAAACAAAAGGTTCCTTGTCTGACGCAGCGTTAAAGTTTCTACAGCAATACGGCTCTATAATATATTGTCATTTTAATTCACTGTTTTTGTGGGATTTTATCAAAAACTTTGAATTCCATATAAAATTATGTTAATTTAATAAGATTTCTTCAAGTTAGTATGCTTTTCCTATTTAAGAAAATTTGGAAAAGATTATCCTAAAGATTTTCCAAATATCTACCTATATAACTCAGTGAGACAAAGCGGGCAGTATACAGAGCTCCAAGTTTTTCTACATTTCTAGGCATGATTATTTAATGAATTTTTCGTTTGCAAAGGAAACGAGTTATCCATCAGAGATATGCAAGGATTTTTTTAAACTTCATAAAAATATTAAAGATCTTTGTAGAACAAAATTTCAATTTGCACATAGGTAATTCGAGGAACTTCATGAACTGATATAATATGCTTATGAGATATGTTGGTGGGGGCATGGGTAGCCTGTGAAGTTAGCGCGTCAAGCTACTATTTGGTCGACCTGAGCCTCGCGGGTTCGAATCTTAGCCTCGGAAGTTAATTCCGAGCCATGAATGTTGTCTTGTGTAACTCGCACCAGATCGGTGTAAGATCAAGTAGATACACCGCGTCGCTGGAGCTGGTATATCCATTAGCTTGTTGAGTAGTACAGTGTTGATGCTACGGGGTCGGCAAAGGAGTCAAAGGTGACCTAGCTTCCAGACGTCCGTCGCGTTCACACCACTACCACTATTTCACGAGATATGACATAACGTCGTTTGTTGTCGCACAAGTCCCTCAAAGCTACATGCGTTTATGTGCTGCACAACTCAGGTTTTTTTGAACATATTTCTTTTACGTGCACTATATCCACCTCCCTCGCGTTCTTTTGTATAGCCAGAAAATAATGAACGCATTCAGACAATGTAAAGCGATCCGACAGTGCAACGCTTTAATGCTAATTAGTATCCATAATATAGGTAGGTACCTTTTCAATTTGCTGCCAGATTTGATTGTTGGTTAAATGTTTAGAACTGTCAAAGCTATTCTACGGCTACTATCAGCATAAAAGCGCTGCACTGTTGGATCACCCAACATTGACTGAACGCGCTCATTCTAATAGCGCCTCTCCTCTACGTGTCCTGCCGTCAAAATGACAGATTCGAAAGCCGAGCACCCATCCCATGTTTGCTCGCTCTAATCGCTGTTCGATGACGTTTAAGCAACACGTACAGCTACAAAACGAGTGCACAACAAGCGTACAACAGCTGGTGGTAATATCTTGTAGAAAAAACTACGAAATATAAAAAAAAATGACGAAATGTCACTTTTTAAGATACATAATACCCGTGTCGATTTGCTCAGGAATGAGTTATTCGTCAAGATTACAAATATGCAAGGAATCTTCACAGGAAACGTAAAATCATTATATGACTTATTTACACGAGGTAATTTGAGGAACTGGATTCAACAATCACTATACAAAAATTGTGAAGTGTCGTGGGGTAGGTAGGTGTCGGGATCTTTCATCGGTTCTAGCATCAAATTGACTTCAGATTCGAAACCTACGTATTCAACTTACCACAGTAACGAGTTCTCTATACGCAGGGGTTTTTTAAAAAAGTTCTCATCGTAGAAACAAATATCGGTTGCGAACTTTCGTCATTACCAGTGAATGCCACTTGATACAATTAGGTAATCTAGGACATAAATGTGACCGTTAAAAATCCGTGTGAAGTGCCGTGGAGACTCCGTGGAAGAAAACTAGTAACTCGGGGCCCTTCGTAATTCTGCCGTTAAACTGACGTAGGATTCGGAATCCACGTAATCTATTTACATGAGAAATAACTCTTTATCTAGATCACGAATATGCAGCTATTTTTGAAACTTGTCTCCTAGAAGGAATTAAAATGCTACAGGACTATGAAGAGTAAACCTTTCATTTGCAACTTAGGGTGCTGAATTCAAATACGACCGCCAAAGAATCGTGAAGTGCGGTATATCCGTACTGGGTTTGAAGTACAAAATGGCTTGTTTCGGATAATCAAATTGGCTTCCGCTTCTCTCTTCTCATCTCTAAGTCTGGGAAACCAATTTATAGAAATATGTGGAATCATCAATGGACTTTACTCAAATGAATAACCTACTTAGAGGTCGTCATAACCTTCATGCATAAATGGCAAAAGATCTCCTAGTAATGATGTATGTGATATGGAATGATGGAAGGTCTAATCAGGGTCTCACTGTGTCACACAAAGAATCCTAGTCTAGGTTACTTTATTGGTAGTCGTCGCCTTAAATGCAAAATCCTACCTTTCTCTGCTGCTAGATCTGCGACCAGGAGGAGGTCCAACAGTACTGGTAAGCGTAGCATTTTTAGCATTTCTCAGCTCATGAACAGTCTTGTTTTGGGCAGCCGCCGCGGCCGCTAGCTGCCCCGCACTGGTCCTGGGCAATCTGGACCCTCCACCCTTGGTACCACCCTTCAAACAGTCCACTGCCGCGGTCAACACCAAGAGCAGATACCACCTTTCAAAGGTACCACTCTTCATGATGCGCACTCCCTTAGAGAACTCCAGTCGCGGCACACCGCTCTGATGGTGGCGGGTTAGGTCGAAGCGTCGCGTGCAACTCGGATAGATCGCGCGGTACGACAGACAGTACTGACCACCGGAGTTTTGGTCGGCGGTACCCAGCCAATATTACTTTCACTCGGGTCGTAGGTAGCTTTGGCGGTACGCCGGCCGCACACAGCTATAACTATGCTTGAGGTAGTACTGTTAAGTGCCGACGCGCTGCTCAGCTTGCGAAGAATTGTTATCAATGAACGGAGCGTTGAAAATGATTGGATTCATTACCGACAGCTCTATAGGGTTACAGCTAAGATTCCCCGATCTGCCTTGGCAAGTCACTCTGTTGATTTTTTCTGGAGAGTACCTATGAAGACGTGAAGCTTTTTATAGCTTCAGGGTCTTAGATTGGGCGGTCAAAATTTGAAGGTTCGGAAAAATGTGAATTTTAATGCTTTGAGAAATCTGTCGTTTTCCCGCGTTTCCTTTCCCTGGGAAGGTTTAGGCTTCGTAAGATATAAATATTTTACAGTATACAAGAAATTAAAAAATAACATCCAGTTGCAATTTAGTAATTCGTTTGGCTGATATTTCAGTCAAAATACATTGGTCTGACATTTCGAATGTTTCCCAGAACAAAAATACATTCTATTAAGTTGAATTTTGTACTTTGGCCTTCAAACGCAAATTTTCTATATTTTGACCCAAAACTGATTGATATTATGAGCTTATCATATTTATCAGCATATTGCTTAATGTCGACGGACAACCACAACTTTTAAGGAATATTTGAGCATCACTTTAAATGGTAGTGCTATTCAGATAGAAGGATCGGTAAAGACTAAGGTTTGTTTATGAAGAAAATCTCAAATTTATTTAATACCTGAATACTGTTTACCTCTGTTTTATGGCATCTGTATTTGAGTGAAGAAATACTCGATCTCAAAGCCAACAAAATTTTATGTAAACTTTAATAATACCTATCAAAAATACTTATTGTGATTTAGAATACCATCCATTTTTAGATTCAGTTTCAGCTAGACGTCTACAAAAAATTCAAAATTCATGTTGTAGATTCATTTTCAATTTAAGAAAATATGATCATTATTGGTGGACTATTGCTTAGTTGTACAGGCATTTATTATGCTATGTTCACAAACTCCTACACAGTTCAGTTCCTTCTTATTTGAAAAATTAATTGATATCTCGTGAGCATATCCACCTACGGAATATCCTCTTGACTAACACTTTAAGTATGCATCTTCACACACCTTCATTATTTCATAAATAACTTATAATTCGATCAATCTATATAATGCATTACCATTTTAATAAAAATCTGAATTAACTCTCATATATATTTTCTCATATTTCTGCATATTAGATATATGATTTTTTTATATTTTTTGCACCACATGTGTACGGTGTATTTAATTTGTAATTTTCATTAAAATTGTTTTCAATATTTGTGCTACTTTTTCAAGGGTGAAGTGAAGGAATAGTTTAGATCTAGTGCATCCAAGACCAAGATTACGATCCCAAAAACGGTTAGAGCGTCAATGTTGGTTGTTTTTTCACTGAATGAATCAGTGTAAAAAGTCGTAACAAAATCGCTCACAAAACACCCTCCCTATTAATCTGACTCTGCCAATAGATCTTGTTCACGTATTTGGGGCACCGCTGCCTCAGCTACACCAAATTAGACACTTGACGAGGTTCAGAAGAATATTACCAGACCTATAAGTGACAGTATCAATAATCGATCGAAGTCCTCGCATCAAAGAGCGGTCAATGATCTACAGATACAACAACGGGCTTTGCTCTTCTAGCCCACCAAATCTCTAATTTGCATTCCAAATCGGTAACGCATGTAAATCAAGATCTGATCGCCACCAAGGCTCGAAAAGAACAAATAAAATGAGGTGGCAGATGAGCTAAACCGAAACATTGCGGCTGTATATTCACTAATAGATCTAAAGCATTTCTTCCGCTTTGCTCCACATAACCTCCTCACTCTGTACAAGGCCCAGATAAGACCCAGCCTCGTGTACTGCTCACATGTTTGGGGTGCTGCCGCCCCTCCAAGCTGGAAGCTGTCCAGACGAGGACACTGACCGACGGATCGATGACTATTCTCTACCGTACAGCCGTCGGCGATAGATAGCTCTCTTCTACCGCTATTTCAAGGGGCTCTGCATCTCAGAACTCACCTCCATGATGCCGCCGCGCGATGTGCCTGCCAAACAGACCCTCCTCACTCCGGCCTCCCATCCTACCCGTGTCGAACTTCGTACTTCCAAAACTAGCCGACACAACAGCTCATTTGTTCATTTAGACATTTAGGACAGTATTCTAATCACTATAATCTTGTGTGAAACTGTTTTTAGGTGTTGATCATAGATTAAAGATACATTCATGCATCAATGACACCTTGTCCTCAAGATAGGATGTTTATCTCGGACCAACATTACTTTCGGTTTTGCCAGTTCATCAATAAAAATAATATTAATAACAGTTATATCAGAGCACACCTCTTAAGTGGAGTAGACAGACTCGTCAAGTCATCTCTATTGTTACTTTCGCAGATCATCAACATCCGTATTGATATAATACTCTTCCTATAATGGCTCTTATCTCCCAAAGTACCATTCAGCGTTATCTAAGTGTACTTGTATTCGATAAGATATGTAGAAAGAAGTAGCCCGACTAAGCAGGATCTATTACATTACACTTTGATATGTAATAGGTATATATAATATCATGTGAAAGTTATAGCAACAGGAAGAGTCTCTTAGAATAAGTGACATTTCAAGAAGAAATATGAATGTCCAATAAGTAAGGGCAAATTTTAATGAACAATATTATTCATTAGCAGAAGAAAAGGTATTATTTCAAAAGCTTATTATGTTTATAACTTGTTTCTATTAACAAAGGATGAAAATTCAAGAAGTGATTCTTTAGGCGCGTCCATTAGTAACGTAAATCGTTTTTGACGATTTGCTGACCGAATCAGCTACCTATGAGCCCTACTTGAGAAAATAGAACAATCTCCATAGTAATCTAGCTTTCATTCGTCCGGTCACAGAAGGCCTAGCATGGACAGCTGTCTCGTGCTATTTGGTAACTCATTAGCATGGTGTAGGCTTCGTATTGGCAGACAACGAACGAAAGCTAAGCAATTCTATTCAGAGTATAATGCCTATGGAGATAAGGCAGCACAGAGTGCCATCTGTTAAAAGAATCGGTCACGGAATCCTGCGGCCACAGTGGTGACCCGGCTGACAATGCGAACTGGCACACAATTCCAGCAGACAGCTTGCAGTTTTCACTTTCGCAGTAGTCGATTTCTGGTAATAGATGGCACTATGTGCTGCCTTATTTCAATATTTCCCATTTTATTGAAAATATGTCAGGCGTGGGCGTTTGAGGGAGTGCTGGAGCGCCTCTCTCTAAGTACGCCAATGAACAAGATTGTTTTAATAATCTTTCTCCACTCTATCGGAATTAAACAAAAACATTTTTTTCAGATAAATAATCAGGCTTTTGAAACATTCTTCTTTCGAGCCGCTGTTCAATAGGTTGTGAAAGAGTTACCAATATTGAGTCAGGACTAGTCCAGCACTGGAGGCCTAAACGAGCTAAACGTTTTCTGTAAGGCCTCAAATAGTTGCTACACTGACAAGAATTCGTTGAATTATACTCTAATATTTGAACTTTATTTAATAAAAGAACAAAATAGTCTTAGAATAATCCAAAGTATGCCGCTTGAATTTTTGCTACATGTTTTGGAAACAACCTGTATGAAAATTCAAGAATCCTAAATATAGTGGATACCAAATAAAACCCGATGCACGTCATCGATCTGGAGCTGTGCGCTGTTGCCAGAATTTGCACATTTTCTTTTAAGCAAATAAATTTAATAAAATAAATTGTTTATATATACCTACCATTTACTATAATACCATTATATTAAAAATAAATAAACTTTTTGTAAAATTAAATTCCTTTCTGAATAAAAACAGCTGATTTCGGTAGATATTCAATGATATGAGCTCTTTATACCGATTGTTAAGTTGTTTTGGCATTTTGGATACTTTACACCACTTCACAGTAACTGTTGTTCTGAAAAGAACAATTTTTAATTGGCAAGGCAACGATTCAAAGCTCAAATAGCGCAAAACTCGCAAACTAAACAATAAAGAACTAATAGTAGACAGTCTACGACAAAAGGACAATGGCAACTGATGTCAACAAATGAGAAGTGGCAACCTCACATTTCTCTACACGGCACTACCAACCGAATCGAGACGGGGAAATTTAAACTTCAAGTAGAAATGTCACATTGAATGTAGTCAACTGTTGGTAACCATGATTTTTATGAATGACATCACCTATGACGTGCATCGGATTTTATTTGGTATCCACTATACACTTTTTAAAACACGTGCAAAAAAAGTCGGAGATGAACTGCATCTTCTCTGAAAATCTATTTTAGTTATTGAACAGGATAATACCATATAGGCACGTATTTCTGATTAAAAATATTTTTGGCCAATAAAAATTATGAAGAAACTATGAAAGTGTGTAAAATGTGAAATGTCGTAACAATGGACTAAACTAATTTTCTATAATTATATCTTATGTGACACCGATATATGTTGATGATACCAGCTTCCTGCTCGTAAAGTATGTTTCCAAAACAGTACTTATTTCGCATATCCACACACATATAGGAATATTTGTTCTCGTTGTAATACTGACAGAAACAAATTCAATCATACTGAAATATGTGTTCAAACATAGTTAAGTACTGTGTAAGATTCCTGAAAATCAATAATTTCTAGTTAAATTCTCACTAAAACCAGGAAAGTAACTTTTGAAGGGGGAATAGACTTTGTTCCTTTAAGCTCTCCTCCATGATGTTATAACGTTCTAAGCCTGCCAAACGAACTGGCCAGAATTCTGCTTCTCAATTATCTCTGATTCGAATAATCAAAAACTGACCATGACAACTGCTCCCTAACGTATAAATATTGTGGAACAATATGCCAGAAGATATTTTCATCGATGTTTCTAACCTTAGGCAGTTCGACGATTGAACCATATCATTAAATTTTGATATCAGCAGCAAACCAACTATCGGTTACTTCTAAATAAAATAAACTTAATTCGCAAGTCATCATACTGTGACAATCGG